TACTTTCTAAACAATCAATATGACAATCGTAATGAACAGCTGGTAATTACGCGAGTGTGATGGTGATGATGAAGGATGGTGCGTTTGTTACAGATGGTAGAGCAAGCAGCAGCGACAATTCTCGATCAGTCAGGCACGTTAAGAGGATCCCAAAGGAACGAGCTGAAAAAAGTTGGCAGCACGCAATATCTCCCGTCGCTATCCAGACTTTTAATTAATAAAATACTCGTTTTCAATGCGTTTGCTGCGGCGTTTTGCGTAACCGCTCTCTCCAACTTCACTGCTAATGAGAATATTTTTCTCGAGTCGAGATTTTATGCACCTCGGCCTACCGAAATCCTACTGGGATTTGGAGATCCTTTAGTATCGAGAACAATCGCAAGTGAGTATTATAGAAGCAAGTGATAATCATGGAGCTACGATGGTTTTATAATAATGTAACATTATTCGTTAACTTTTAGCGATTATAAAACCAATATTAATTGGAATTGCCGTAATTGCTGCTGGTTCAGTTATTGCACGAATTAAGCCCAAAACAAGGACGCTTGTTATCTATAGTTTTACAGTCTGGCTTACGTCGGCCTTAATAATATTCTGCCTCGCTTTTGTTAATTGTAATAAAGCGCCTATCGTCGGCACTCATAAAGGATCGTAGGTTCACTCTGATTACAGACACGCACCCACACGCACCCACACGCACCCACACGCACACACAGACAGATGCATTACATTAAATTGTAATTTTAATTTTAATATTAATTTTTTCAACGCTTGTTTAGCCTTCAACTTATTCAATACTGTAATAAAGATTGCCAATGCTCTCGAGACGCGGATTTTCGACCCATTTGTGACAGTGGTGAAAGTTTCATCTTCTACACGGCTTGTCACGCTGGATGTTCGTCCGTTAAATACATAGATAATAGAAAAATATACACTAACTGTTCTTGTATTGAAAATGACGCTGAAGCGATTGACGGCCCATGTGGTTCAAGTAATTGTCAAACTGGATGGATAATCTATGAGGTGAAGCAATAGGGCAATTTTTTATATAAATACTTTCTTATTGTCAAAGATGGTTATATTTTTCCTTTTCTTGTCTTGTTATATATATATATATATCTGTGTGTGTGTGTGTGTGTGTTTATATAAATTTTGTTTGTTTGTTTGTTTTTTTTTTTTTTTAGATATTAACAATATTGATATACACTGCACTAGCTTCGACTGTAATGGGCGATGTATTAATTACCTTAAGAAGCGTTAATTCGCAAGACAAGGCACTTGCGATAGGATATATTATGTCGTTAGTGGGATTCTTTGCCTACGTTATTGGCAAATTATCCTACGATGAATTTATAAAATCTACGTGTTACCATTGGGGACACACAGATCGCCAATGCCATTTGCATCATCCAACAAGCCTAGGGAATTATTTATGCTTCGCGACATCCGGGCTCATCGCTCTCGGAGCTTGTTTGAAAATTGGAGTCTGCTTTTTTTCCCAAGATCTTGATATTTACAACTTTGTCACAACCGAATCTCAACAATTAACAGAATTGAAAGATATGTCTAAAATTCAAGCCGAGCCACTATTACAATCTCAATCCTCCGGCTACACAGCCAACGGCACACGAAATAATCAAAGCACGGGTAATTAACTATTTTCTATCACTTCACTCGCTTCTCAATCCTCTCTTTGTCTAATTTACTTAAGTTTTCGTTTTCTTTTAATAATTCATTGAAAGGTAAGGCCGTAGAGAGCGCAGATGAACCTACAGTCGTACTAGAAAGTACAAATAAGGGGAACGATCGACCGACTACGGATTTATCCATCAAGGAAGGCGAGCCGAAATCAAGATTGAAATACGGCCCGGTTGGCCCAGGTGACAGAAGGGTCGCGAAGAACCAGTCCAATGCTAGTATATCAAATATAGGTACGGATGACGAGTTGGACAGTTCCGATAGCAGTCAAGTTCCAAGAAAAAGTTCCCTCTCCCAAGTTTCGTACAAGCCACTCGAAATAGATTCGGACGTTGAAAGTGACTTGAGTGGAACAGCGCCAAGATCTAGAAAATGTATTCCCAGTGCAGAATTCGACGAACCAAGTAAAGGTTTGCAAGAAAATCGTCTATCGCCAAAGAAATATCAATTCCTGAATCCGGATAATTACGAAGCCTCGATTAAGTCGAAAAATTCCCGAAATCCCGGCGCTGTGGAGGCAGCAGGCAAGCCAACGCCTAGTAGCAGCCTGGAATGCATTGATAAGCCAACAAACGATACTCTCCTATCGACTTCAAGAGGAGACTTTAATTTCCTGTGATGGAATCATACGAGGCTACCATGAAAGGTTCGACCAATTCCCTGCGATCGCCGACAATCGTCATGTCGATGTATTATCTGAATAAGCATCCTGATAATCAGTTGTTGGACCAAACCGAATTTCTCCGTAATTCAAATAAGAAAAATCATAATGAGGAAACGGAAGAAAATCGGAGTTTTCGCTTGGAAAAGCTGATGCAACCTATCGATTACCCGGGCCCCTCCACTCGACCACCATCGCGTGATCGAGGCTCGTCAGGTTTTGGGAGTTTACAGGACATAGGCGATAAAGCAAAATTGCAGGGTGATGTTTCCGATTCAAAAGACAGTTTAAGCTCGAAATCATCGGCATCTGGACCTCCTAAAAAAGGCAGCCCACTTTGTACAGATTTGTGAAAGAATTTTTATAAAATTTCATCACAACTTTTCATAATGATTATATGCTTTTTTACACCTCGAGCAGTTTCACGCTCGACATTAATATTTCTTCTTATACGTCGATTATATAACATTGCTACTAGGATAGATAAAAAAAAATTTAAATATATAATTTGAACATTTAACGCACGAGTTATTTGGAGTTTATGTTTTAATTTTAAAGCATTTCATATATTTATACTTTATTTCAATTAACATTTTACCCATTAATAATTATTATGGCAATACAAATACATATAACACATGCATACGTAATGATCATTAGCAATGATATTTTCATTAGCAATTTAAATAAGCAGATTTTATATAAACGAATAATATAAAAACTAACATGACTGCATTTAATATAAACTTTTCATTAACGATTTACATAAGATATTTATAAAAAATAAAATCCTACGATTAAGATAAACAATTTTCAAATGATAACCATGTAGATCTATCTTCTTGTTCGCTTCATTCATTGGTTAATAATTTATTTCATCAATGATTGCAAATCACGAAAGAATGACCAAATTATATCCTTTTCAATAATATTATCTTAGTATTGGGATTCTTCATACTTTTAAACTTAAATGTTGTCATACTAATTGATATATTTTAAAATCTAATCATCAGTATTAATTTTGAGCAATACTTTAAACCTTTCTTATATTAATGTTAAAAGGTGATTACTTAAAATTTAAATAATATTATATTTAATCTCATTGAATTGTATGACAACTTTAACATTTTCAAATTATATTTCTCCTTCGCTTCGTTATTATTATTTTTGAAAGCTTCACTCATAAACGTAATTGAGAAACATTGAAAATTAAGTTGCTCACTTTGTGTAAAGGCATCACATATGCCACACACGCGCGCGCACACTCCATTCGAACATTTATATCAACGTCCATTACATCTTTCTATATTTAATAAAATTTTCATTTTCATACAACTTTCAATATATATTATAAAACTACGAATTTCACAAGGCATACATACACATATAAATAATATAAAATATGTATAATGTAAAATTATTATAGTATTAATTAGTATTAATATCGGTATGTAACGTCTACATTTAAAATATTACTTTCTTCAAAATAAATATGCATTTATAAAGAAAATTTATTCCATTTAATATAAAAATACATATATGCATATATATATATATATATATATATATATATATATATATATATATAATACTTATAATTTTTGAAGACCAATAGATTAAAATATTATATTATATATATATTTTTTAAACATGTCATTTGTAATGAAAATTGTAATGATATATGAATAAAGATTATAATTGCGTTAAATTACGAATGATTATATTGACATAGAAATTTATACTGTAAATAATAAAAAATATTCAAATAATTAAGTTTGTCAAATGATTCCAAGGATCTAAACATCATTGAAAACAATAACAAAGGGAAAATAATAAGAAAAAAAACAAAAACTGATAAAAAATATTACTGGATCTTTATTTATCATTATATTTCACAAATAGTCCAATATTTATTGAGCACAATTATATTTATTTAGATGCAGATACCGAGTTTACGATATAGTACAATGATAATGAATTGACGAGATTTTGTGAGAAATTATTTCTTTGATTAGTTTGACCGCGGATAGAAAAACAAAGAAAATCCGTCCGAATGCCGTGCGAAATATATAATAATATTAAAGAAATTTACAAAAATCATCATTGCAAAGCATATGAAGGATGGATTTTCAATCGAAGACCGATTGGAAATCCCTTACCGTAACTCTTAATTACCCACCGAGCGATCGCACTTTTCCTCCTATCAGCCTCCCCCCCCCCCTCCTATCACAACAATTCTCGCTCACCCGCGGCCTTGGCTATTTACCGCGCTTTTTGATCAACGGAACAGTCGAGCGACCTGACGGAAAAGTAAAGTGGGGTCGAGGGAGTAAGACGATGGCTCGTGGCCAACTCCGCAGACTTCTGAGCGGTCGGTGGTGCGGAGCTCCAAAATCCGGAGACTGGCGCACTTGGCGCACCCGAGCTCGGCTCACGCGAGAGTTCCTCGGCTTTCGCGGAGGGAGCCTACGTGGCCACGCCCTTGCCATCCCAGCCGCTGCCGAACGTCCAACGTCGGGGAAACGACATTTTCCGGGCTGAATCTGGTGGCCTTTAATCGGACGTCCGACAATGCGACGACGACCTTTCTCGCGCCAAGGGCAAATTTGATAATTTTATCAATTTAGGAGAAAGATGATTTTATATGTTTTTCATATTAATAATTGCCACTAGGTACTTCTAATTCCGATACCTAAGTCGATTTTATTAGTTAGCTCTTTATTGGCGGAAAAAAAAAAGAAGCATCTCAACATTTTTGTAATTGATTTCTGAAAACCCACAAGTACAATTGCATTAGTCAAATATACAACGGATCTGCAATATTAATTAGCTAATAATTATTGAGCTATTAATACTATCTTAAATAATACTGAGCGATACTTATGTAAAGAAAATTGCTCAATTAAACTGAATTTCATTAAACGTTGTAAATTTAATATCAATCAAAAGTCAATGAGCATACTAAATAATATTAACAAACAATTATCAAATAAAATATACGTTGAATCGAAAACAATACTAGTAAATAGTCTTGTTACTTGTCTTGATATTCTATTTGATAATGAGGCTGTACGATTCAATTCACATGTGCAATGAATCGACTAAATTTAGCCGCTTACCTCGCCCTTGTAGGAAAAACGTTTACGAGAAGCAACATCATTTTACAATCATTCTTAGATAATAATAATAACAACAACAACAAAAACAACAACAACAACAACAATAATAATAATAATAATAATAATAATAACGATTCAAGATAAATAATATATTTGATATAAAAGCGGAAGGGGATTTCCATTGTAGGGGAAGTAATTCGACATGTAACGCGATAATTTATCGAAAATATTTTATGAATTTTGCTGTGAACACGTTTTACAATTAATTCCGATATCGTTTCAGCAATATAATCGGTAAGAATTTCTAACACAGCACACGCATTATCTGTCGTTGCCCATCCAAGTCAGTGTATCCGCGCACTCACATTGTTCATATATAATATATACATATGACAGAGAGAGAGAGAGAGAGAGAGAGAGAGAGAGAGTGTGTATATATATATATATCCGTCGCAATAAACGAGCTATAGTCTAACCACCTCTACAAAATTTTCTCTAAGTTTAGCTTGACGCGTCAACCTGATCTACGTGTCGCTATGTGAAAAACGACAAACTCGATATTTAAAATTCTTACGGAGCTGATGATGAACAATGAATAATTTGAAATGAAAGAGCCGATAAGAAAAAATATCACGAATAAACCATTTTTTATGAATCTGTCTAAACGTTCTGTAGCTTATCGCAGCTGAATTTCCAAATTCATTTGTTAAAATTTTTTTGAGTAGAATTTTAATATTAATGGACCTGTGGAAGCACAGATTACTCAATTTAAATCTATAATACAGTCTATTTAGTGAGCTAGTAAGAACTGGATGGGAAAAAAAATTAAATGATAACTTAGATAAACAAAATTCATTTCTTTATCATATATGGATTTGAAAATATTACTTGACAGACACCGAGATATTGATATTTTATAATAAATTTTGATTCATACATTATTATGAATGTCACAGAAGTATCTTGACAATCACGGAAAATTTATACTCTTTAATTCTCGAGTGTAATTGACTTCTGAAGTATTCCTAATAAATAAATAATTCCCACGGTGACTATCAACTATTATCAAAAGAAAATCTCAAATGAAAAAAAAAATAAACCATTTTTTAAATAAATTTATTTATACGTAATTCTTTTAAGATATTCTTATTACTCAATGTAGCTTACATTTGTAATATGGCACCGACTTACACTGTACCTAATTACAGCGATTTTAACAATTACGATATTCAATCGTTCTCGAAGCCAATAAACATAATACACGCTAGAAGGTAAATGACGTATATAATCGCAAACAATGACGTGAAAATGCTTAATTAACTCGTACTGATGCTGCTGGACCGCGAAGGGAGATTACACAATAACAAATGATCATATGACACGTCACGTTTCAATTAAAAAGTCTTGCCTTAAACTCTGATTTCTCTACGCATTGTTCATATACTTCTGTTGAATATTCCAAATCTTCGATACAATCTACAAGCTCTTTGTATAATTGAAAGTTCTAGAAAATCTTATTGGTACAATAATACTGAATTATTTAAAGGCCATAATTATTGTTTTACAAGAAGAATTGAATTTTAATATATCTCAGCCATAATCACCATTACGTGAACAATTTCCATTTTTTTATTTTTTTTTATTTTTATTTTTATTATTCCTTATCTTATGCTCAAATATTGATAAACATAACGACAGAGCTAATAATTAATCAACGATAATTGTTAATTTCTTACAAATTACATTAAAAATTTACAGAACAAAATATAAACTATTTATAATGTAAAATCACAATACATTCGTAGTAGTGTAATCGTACTCAATAGATATTTCAAACGTAATTGCACTAATTATTAAGTAATTACATTTTGTTTGTATTTGCCGAAAAGTTGTATTTAATTCTTTATTATTCTTATGCATTATTGTTTTATGCATTTTAATTGAACAACATTCATTTTACAAAATATTCATATGTAAACGTATTTATTTCACGAAATTGGCGAGTTTACAATAGGTGAATATGTTTTACAATTATCGAAATAAAAATTTAATTATAATAAATATTCTAATAATGATAATCAAATATAATATATATATATATATATATATATTTCATACATATTTAAAACTAAAAGGTAAATTATTAAATAATGTCTACATACAGTAGAGGAGAAAAGAAAATTTTACATTTTAGATTATGATTTAAAATGGTGAATAGAACTCTGAAATGTAATTGTATAATGATGAGCATCGACTAAAAGATTCAATTTTTACAAACAAAGTATATTATTATTATTATCATTATTATTATTATTATTATTATTATTATTATTATTATTATTATTATTATTATTACTATTATTACTATTATTACTATTATTATTATTATTATTATTAATAATAATAATATACATTTATAATGGTATAAAATTTGATTATATAATGCAATAAGCAAACAAGTGATGGAGTGAAATTTCATATAGCGTTAAACGTCATTTTTAACAAAATATAATCTTCGAGCAAAAATAGCTTTGTATGGAAAAATTAACCCAAGCCTTTGTCATTGTAAACTATGGACATGAATTTCTATTCTTACCGTTTATTAAAAATTATCTATCATTTATCGATAATGGACGAGAGATTTTACACTAATATATGCTTATTATTTACAAAACAAGTTTTTGTAAGTTCGTTTGTTACTTAAACATGAAATTATAATTTTTAGTAATATGCTATTTAGATTAGATTAAAAGCAAAAGTAAAAAATTGTAATTTTCTTACAGTTTGTAAAATCCGTCCAATTGATTGGCTTAATAAAATTTGTTACGATCAATAATCATAATCTAATTCTTATCTCAATAATTTATTTAAATATATATATATATATATATATATATATATATATATATATATATATATATATATTATATTTGATTATCATTATTAGAATATTTATTTACTTAAAATTACATATACGTTTAAGGCTTTTTATGCAAGCGTTATTTATATTTCATTTTATTATAACAGAGTCGTATCAAAATTCATCAATACTTAGAAATCTAAATATTTTTTTAGCGAAACATAAATATGTATCGAAAAATAAATCACTATCGAATGCTTTTGAATTATACTTATCGTCGATGGAAGAACGGAGTTCTACATTAATTTGCTTTAATAGAACATTTACATCCTTAATTATGTTTATGCGGATTATTAAAAAATGAACTTTACATTTAAGAGAGAAATATCAACGTGTTTACGCGAATAAAAATGAATTTTATTTTATTTTTATATAAAATATACCAACAAATATATCTCGTTATTGCAGATATGCATCATCCTTATTCGTACAAAAATGTACATATTTTTACATGAATCACATTGTTCATAAAATATATTATAAATTGCACAAGAATAGAATTAATAATATTATCTAAAAGTATTCTTATATGTTAAGATTTATTAAATAACAATGTTTCATCTTGTAATTGTTATAATGTTATAATTCAATATGTATTCAGATTTGTAATCGAATGAATTTTGTCCAGACAAGTCTCAACATTACTTATCCCCTAAATTAATTTGCGAATTTTATATAGAACTTTGAATGAAATTTGAGATTTTTAAAATTATTATACAAGTTTCAGTTCTTTCAATAATTTGTCAATCGCGATATTTTATAAAAATAGATATAACGGTATTTAACTCCAATATCATACATTTCAGTAAAAAAATAGAATAACAAATCTTTTCATCTGTGGAGCTACGAACATTCTCCTTAAGGTACGTGAAAGCAAAAGTTTCTAGACTTTCTTAAACGTTCAAGATTGATTATCAATGTTCTTGATCGTTGTATCTTCATATATCACCGGGCTCTTCCGCAATATCTTCCAATTCAACTTCTTCATCAAAGATCTTTACATCTTTTACGTAATACCATACACCAACATCAAATAACGTACCCACAGTAACAAAGCCTAAAAAGAAAAGAATTTATTATTGTTATTATTACATGTTTTAACACTGACCGACAAATTAAAAAGAATAGCAAAGTTAAAAGTATAAATAAAAAATAAAAATAAAATAATAATAATCTAAACGTATTTGCTATTGTATTTGCATCGTTGGTTTGAGTTTAACCGGAAATTGTCGGATGATAATATAGTATTATAATTATATATGATGATCCTTAAAATCAAATGGCTTTAATTATTTTAACCTAAACATTTTTAATAATTCCTACAAATGACAATGAATCAAATAGATTTTGTACGTCACATATAAAACATAAGAGCTCAAAATTTATAGACGCGCGCTCACTATTAGTAGACTACTTCAACGATAAAGAATTTAGATCGGTGCCTAAAATTAATATTCCTTCAATGTTATAATATAGGCCCGTAGAATGACATTTTTGAAAATGGATCGTCATAATATTGCGCGTTTAGAAATAAGTTTTATTTGCCAATTGAATAAACAAAATGTGCTATGATTAAATACTTTACTTACTAGCTGCTGTGAAGTTCATGAGATATCTTAAGGTCTCGCCATTGTATAGCCAACAATTGCCTGTTCCGGAACATGTCTTTCCCCATACAAGGCAAGTCTTATCTATAAAATGAAAGCGTGAAAGAAAGAAAGAAAGAAAGAAAGAAAGAAACAAACAAACAAAATATATATATATATATATAATTAGTATAGTTGAGTAAGTGTACCGTGAGCTGTCGGATTACTAACCAAGTATGAATCCAAAAAGAATGGGCGATGGTATGAATGCGAAAAGACTCATGATCGTTAAACCAAAGCCCATGGCTACCGTTTTGTCCTTCTCGTCGACACATCTGACGGATACGAGGAAATTCGAAGCTCTTCCAGTTGCACCGCTGAACTTCAGTAAACAGACAACCGTGAGGAAGATATAGAACTTATCCAAGCAGTCTATAGAACAGGCCCCGGGAACGGCGGAACCCAGATTGTAAGGAACTTGTGCACCAACGTTGAAATCAATCGGCGGTGTCGTGAAGGCGCTCTGCACGCTTTCGTTCATCGAGTACTGAGCAAAAACTTCCGATGGATTCGATTTCACGCAACTACAGTCGGTATAGATTTTCTTTCCGCTATCATCCACCTACAACATCGCACAAATTATCGTTTTGTTTTTCATTTTGTTATTATCGGTCCAAGGGCCTCTGTCCAGGGCCTCTTGAATAATATCCTCCAGTTTTTCGACAACATTCGTCAGTCCAGACATTCGTCAAGAGCCGAGAGTTCCAACTTAAAATTAATGGAATTAAAGAAAGACTCGCGTCATAGCGAGGGAATTGATTGTCGCGTGTCAGCATTGGACAAACGTGTATGAGGAACGTTTATCGAAGTGCCGGACAAGTGCCGGACAAGTGCCGGACAAGTGCCGGACAAGTGCCGGACAAATACCGGACAAATTCCGGACAAGTGCCGCCCCAAGGAGCGTGATGGAAAAACAGAAGAAAAAAAAAAACAAACGAAGAACACTGACCTTGACGGTTTTACAGCCGGCATGGCAAGCCGATATGAAGGTGCGTCCAGTTTCCGAGCAGACTGGATTGTAGGTGACGTAGTCGCAGTGGCAGTGCTCGTTACAGGGCAGCAGAGTCTCGAGGGAGCCGTCACTGGTGACGGCGATTTGATTGTCATTGGCCGGGCAGCCGAGGAACGCGTAGGATATCATGCCGAGGAGCGAGACAGCGCCGACCATGACGTTCCAAGCGGCGAGGTAGCGCGCCTTGGGCTTGTACTTGGAAATGACGAGGCCGGAGAGGAGGATGCCGAAGGCGCTGAAGACGAGGCCGACGGTGCCGGTGATGAGGGAGGAGACCGAGGCCGACTGCTTGTACTGCGTCTCGATATACTTAGGCATGAAGATCCAGTAGGGCATGTAGCCCATGAAGTAGAATACCGCGGCGAGGTTGTTGCACATGAGGGTCGTGTTGGTCAGTAGCCGCTTGAAGGTGCTCATCATGTCTTTGAGGGAAGCCGGCAGTTCGGGCTCCTGGGGCGCGTCCTTTATATTCGTTGCTGACTTATTGCGCTCGAGGGCCAAGACCTTGCGGGCGGCTGCGCGCGGCAGCGTCTTCGGGAAGAGGGCGAGTATACTCGCGAATACGAAGAGGAGTATGGCCAGGATTATCCACCCGAGCCACCAAGCGCCGAGCCACCTGAGCAAAAACGCGAGCCAATGACATTGCGACGTCGTGCGAATTATTGGGCTTTGAAAATGGAGAAAGTTGATCGAACGCAAAAGCCGTGACATTTCCAATATAATAGCTTCGCTTATGACGCTAAGCAAACACAATTTATAAAACGTTCATCTAGCTATGGTAAATAGACGGAGAGCATTGAGATTTATCATTAAATTAATGAAAAGCTGTTACGGACCGTAAGCAATTTTATTAAAACCACTAGACTATTTCTTAGGTATATCGCATATGTATTATCGATACGATTTATTCGATGCAGCAATCGCTGAGATCATAGATTCGAAATAAGTGCATTACCTAAGTATACATAAAAGTAAAGAAAAAAATAAAAATATATTTCTTGATAACGAGATAGCAGCTTTGATTTTAATTGATAAATTATTATTATTCATTGGCGTGATGATTAAAAGATTAATAAAATACGTTCATTGCGTATAAAAATAATGGCTAACATCTTAACAGTCGCGTTTAAAATCGGTTGATAATTAGGACATGAATTGATAAATTAGATAAGATAAAGTAATTAGAGCGATAGTAGATCGAAGCGCTCGGGCCTGTTTATCTTGTTTATTATCGAAAGCGAGACACGCACACGCGCACGCGCGCGCAAGCACATATATATATATATATGTAAAGATACAGTATAATCTAAAGTTTTCGTTCAATGCAAACATTAAATTGTAGATTAAGTTTTTGGTGATCAGTGACTGCTCGGAGAAGCAAATAGCCTTAATCAATTAGAGTCCGCAATCAGCGCAGACGAGAGATAGAGAGTGAGAGAGAGTGAGAGAGAGTGAGAGAGAGTGAGAGAGAGTGAGAGAGAGTGAGAGAGAGTGAGAGAGAGTGAGAGAGAGTGAGAGAGAGTGAGAGAGAGTGAGAGAGAGTGAGAGAGAGTGAGAGAGAGTGAGAGAGAGTGAGAGAGAGTGAGAGAGAGTGAGAGAGAGTGAGAGGATCGTCGCAAACAAAAGTCAATCGACCTATCTCTCAATAAAGAGATAACGTTTGATAATAATCGCGGCACTTTCCATCGGACTTACGACTCACCTCGGGTCTTGCATCGTAATCGTGGGCGTGAGACTCGGACTGATGTAGAACTTGAGGGCGAAGGAGGCAAGCCCGTAACCGATCGCCGGTCCCAGCATCCGCAAGAAGTACGAGAAACTAATAAGCGCCGGGGTCTTGGATTTTTGAATGTTGTCGTCCATGTAGGAGACGCCGAGGGTGTAATAGAGAGAGCCACCGATACCGGAGACAAGCTGGGCGACGAAGAGGAGGGCCTGGGGCGCGAAGTTGCCGTCGGCCTCCTCGCAGTGCTCGTGATTCGTACGATTCAGGCAGAGGAACTTCCGCTGCTTCTCGAATACCGCATTCGAGCTGGTGTTGCCCGCTGCCGTCTGTAACTTCGCCCCGTATTCCTTGGTCAGGATGAGCGCGTCCTCTCCGGGGCCGTAGAGGAAGTGCGGGAGCATCGTCAGACAGCAGAAAAGCACAACCTGCAAATGTCATTGGTTCGGCTTATTCCGTTCCTGTTCGTGTCCACTGTGTTCTTCGTAAACGGGAAATCAATGTTAATAGAGAATATCAAATATTTTTGCGATAACCTGAACGTTCTATCCCACTTGCACATTCAATAGCGCAGCTACGTTGCAAAATTTACACTTATTCGTTTTTTAGATATTGAACAAAATTAGACCCTTCGTTACAATATATTTACTTTTATAATGAAAATATGTAATAATTCGTTTATACGTATTATTACAAGCAATTGAATGAATTTTTATAATCGGCTTTAAGAATAATTGTGGAAAGTAAATGAAATAATTGCATTGGATTTATGAAGAATAATAAAATAAATATCCCACTCGGCATACGTACATTGATATTTATTTAATGTTTTATTTATGCTATTTCGTTGCGATCGTTAAAAGTTAGATTTTTTTTTTTTTTATATATATATATATGGCGTTGCTTTAACGCACAAAAATGTCTTAATAATATACATAACATGGATTATACAACTCATGCCAATCAATATCCTTTAATTATCAAAAATATTGAAAAATATATTATTATAGATAATTAGTTAAACGTGAGTTGAAAAAAAAACTGCATTCTAGTGGATGTCTAATAAATTAAAATATCTTCGTTATTTACTTAAACAATATTATCAATCATAAAAAAAAAAACAAAAAAAAAGAAAAATCTAAAGTAGTTCTGAGTAGATAAAATTATTATCGATATATTTATTTTTCTTAAAAATACCACATGCGACGAAGATGTTAAAAAGTAAATTATCTTATAGATATTATTAGCTAAATATCATTATTCTCATTACTTTTGGTTTGTTTATATAGGAATTTAATTTATCAGTAGTTTGGATCCTTTGCTTATACAAAAGAATGATATTAGGAAAATTATTCCGAAATTGCAATTTCAGACAATATTAATGAGAAGCGTTGTCGGTAATTGCAAAATCTTAATAGTCAATGTTATAAAATTGATGTGAAATTGTGAAAAATTATTGAAAATTCGTTGAGAATTAAGTTTGAATTGGAATTAACCACTCATGATAAACACCTAGATATCATAAAATATTGATTTTCACTCTTTCACTCTACTTACAAAATTAGTAAATTAAGTAAATTAATAACTTATTGCATTAACATAATCAGTTTATGGTTATTTAAAAAAAAAAAAAAAAAAAAAAACATCGATAATCCTTAATAGGTGAAAGTAATTTTTATATTCTATAAATTATGAATGAATAAATTAGTTTAAATAAAAAAAAAAAAAAAAAAAACCCTACAATAATGATAAATAGCGAAAACGTAATTTTGGTTAATTTGATTTTACCAGATAATAAAAATATCTCTTTATTTGGAATTAAATTAAACAAAATTTTATTCTTCTTTCACGTAAATTCTCTTTAATGGGTAAAATTTTATATAACCAACATATGTTTTTTTCTATACAAGCGACGGTATTTATGAAAAAAAAAAAAAAAATTAATAGCGATTAGCGTTGCACCATCTACGTGGACCAAATATATAATTGAAAATATTAAACGTGCTTATGCAGACTTTACCTTTGCTTTATCTTACCAATACTATCTACTAAAATATATAAAGTGCCGCTAGATTGAGAAAAATATATGTGAAACGAAGTGGGAGAATGTCAATTTTCTAAATAGTGTAAGTCGTTGTCATTTTCAGCTGCTGTAATATTCAATTTATAAGATATAATAATTTATTAATAATAGCATGTAATCAGTATTGGATGCTTATAATCGCTATTAATGGACATTTTAAAAATCTACTGCCTTTCATTAGTTACTAAAATACTTTTCTTATGAATACTTATGAATCGTTATAAAAAAAAAATCTCTCTGGCTAATATCACCAAGGGAGAGTCATTCGTTTGTATTGGTGTTGATAGGTTGAAAGTCAATTGATAAATGATTGATTCTTACGTCAATTCGGCTATTAATATGTTTATATTATTAATCTGTATTTATTATATACTTATCCCTGCCTATGAGGATATACACGCTATTAGTCCAACATGAATGGCGAATCCCTTACTTTTGCAAATACTGATTATTCTCGTTCGTTAACAGAATTCTCTGGTACACGTGTGCTAATAATTATGCATAACACCAATGAAATTATTCGTGCAAAAAGTCCATAAAATAAATTAGTAGAAATTGTATGTAATCTACATTGTGGCTCATTTATTGATAATATATTTTTGCTTTCACCTCTATATCAATATATCAATATATACTTGGGAATAATTCATTTGAAATTCTCCATATTCTGCATCGATCTTGGACTGAAATATTTTTATGAGTTTTAGCATAAGTGTACGATGATGTGCAATGTATACGAATATACATAATGCCCAACACACTTAACGTAATTCATGGGATTTCAGCCGATGAAAACATGTTTTCCATACAAGATACACTATTGATTAAGAATATTTCAATTAAGCTAATCTAGTTTACATTACATTTACAAGAAGAAAAATATCTATTTTTTTTTTTTTTTTTTTTTTTTTTTTTTTTTTTTATATATATATTATTTCAAAGATGAACTATCGCTAATTTGCAAAATAAATAATTATTATTAATATAAACTTATTCTACCAACGTGAATATTGTCCTTTTTTCTCTCGTTAATTAAATGTAAACACGAAATATATACTGATTTACAATATATTTTCAAAATTCATTTATTATATTAAATAATGAATTTTATTTCCTATGATGTCTTTGTAAAAATAGTCAAATTTAATTAAATAAAATATTTGTAATAAATCCATAAAGTTTTTGTAGTAACAAACGTGTTTCAAATAATTTGATAATCGATACATAATATTTGTATACTTATAATCGTTTACCTATTATCTATATTTTTACATAGAAATTCATAATTCAGAATTTTTATAAATAAACATAATATATTGAATTTAGATATTTTATTTTGACGAGGCAATCAATTTCAGAGCAAGTAAAGTTCCTTCTTTATTATTATAATAAAGAATTAATGAATTATCAAGTATTATTGCGTCTCTTTATAAATCAGTTAAATCACGAAGAATAATTATGGTATAATTAGTTATCAATAAATCATCATCTTAAATTTGTATTAAAGCATTCACATCCAATATAAATAATATAAATAGAAATAATTGCATTTACGTGTTGAAGGATATAATAAGTAATGCTAAGGAATTTTTCAACTTTGAAAAGAAATATAAATATACAATAAAATACGTATTGAAGCGCATATGCACGCATAAATAACCTGTATAATATAAAATTTATTACTTTCTTTTTTGCTTTCATTAAAAAGAGAACTATTATAAATATATATGCACTATAATTGTTTAGTAAACTCTCATATCATTTCAATTTCTTTGCAAACATACGATCTCACGTTCCAACATTAATAATAATAATAGAAAATAAAAATAATCAGTCTTAAATGACAGATAAAAAGTGAAATAAGTTTATTGAACTCACAGTATTAAATCATTGAAAAGTTGGATGCTGATTTACAAATAAACGTTTAAATGTAATTCAATGAAGTGAAGCAAAAAAGTCGTGAATAAAACAAACATTAAATGTGATTGATCACCTTTCTTAAAATTCAATGAATTTACGTTCAGTAGAATTGAATTTATCACGAGATTGTCAACATTCTTGTCGATTACTAGTCGATCTCTCAATAATTATAATAATAACTCGAAAACAGACAGCTAAAACGTGCAATTAATAGATTATCGGTTACGATTACAAAATGATTACAAAATGACTATATGTATTGAGTGTAAACTATAGAAGGAACATCTATGCGACAAATGTGTGTAGAATGACATTACTGAAACTTCGAAGTTACGAGGATGTAGGAGAGAGACAGGTGGTGGAGAACAACGCACTTGTATGGGCTAAGAAACAATGAAATCACATTGAGGAAACAAATATTCTGGTATACTAGAATATGATAAATATAAATTCTTTTTGTATCCAATTTGTTTTTTCTACCGACTTATCTGATGTTGTTATTCCCGTAGCAGAACTTTATTACCGACTATGACAATTTCTCTGAATTAAAAGGAAAAATAAACTTTGTAACAATATACTTTCTATTATGCAAATTAAACATTGATTTTCCAATTTCAATTTTATTCTTTAATAGCTCTGCAACTTTTCCGTATTCCAATATAATACCACAAACTAATATATATATATATATATATATATATATATATATATATATATATTATATTGTTGACTTTATATTGTATTGTGACATGATTAAATTCGAATAATATTATTGAATTCTTTGTAAGAATTTTCTTTGTAAATTATTTATATTCAATGGCTGGTATTAAACAAAATTTCTAAATGATATTAAACAATATTCCACCTCTATAACTTTGGTCGCATAATTCTTATCGATTTTATTAATTTTCGCTTAGAATTATTTTCACTTAGAATCTGAAGAAAAAAAAAATTGTTTTTTATGCTAAGGATAATATCAGCGATAATGAATTACAGATTTTCATAAACCATTCGTTATCATTGAATTTCCTCTCTCGCCCCCCCCCCTTTTTCTACAATCTTCTCACTATTCTTGTTAATAAAATATTTCTTGCATTAATCATAATTTCTCTGTTATCACTCTGTAAATTTAGATCACTCAGATCATCTGTATACATTAGCACTGTACTATTAAAAGAAACGTCTTTATTATTCTTTACTATAAATCTAAAAATGTATTCACAAACTAAATTGAATAATAGATATGACAGCGCATCGCGGTGATTTTAATTCATTGTGAATCTCATACAGTATTATTTATTATTCGATCTATGCTCTATGAACTATTTAAATATATTTATGTTGATTCAATACAACATATTATCCACCTTTATTATTGTAAAATAAATAAATAAATGCTTATTATAATTGTGCTATTGTGATATAAAATTTCTGTTTAATTTTAAATATCTGCTCAACTATGAATATGATGACTTCTTGTTAATCGATTTCATTAGACCACACCACAAGGTATTAATTAGCATAATAATATTTTCAGTATAGATAAATATAATAAATTGACGGGCTAGAACAGGAGTAAATGAAACGTTTGATAAATATAAGAGATTTGGAAATTGGCTTAAATTTGATTTAATGCGCAAACGAGAATGACAAAAAGTGTTGAAAATAACAAATGCTAAATACAATTATACTATGTACAATGTTGATGTTCCAATTTATTTATAACGCAAATCATCAAAAAACATAGCGTTGATAATTTCCTACGATACACGGCATCTTCGGATCTTCCAAGATGAAAGATACAAATTTATGCCAATTAAAAATATAAAATAAAAAGTAAATCTTCTTTTCACGTTTTATATTTATTGTTACGATATTCTATTGAAATATAATCAATAAGAAAGAAATAATTACCTTATCATTTGATAAATAGCAAGGATGAAATTGCTAGTAATGAAATTATTTAATATCGACCAAGCCGCATGTAAAATATCTTTCTTTCATTCTTTTTTTTATTTTTTTTTTTTATTCACTATACCATACAATAGCGCCAAAATATTTTATAATTATTTTACATGCTTATACCATCATCTCTTAATCGATAAATAGATTGACAATAATATTTTTAAAATATTCGGCCCACTACAACATGCACATTCTACAACACGACACATTTATTTCCACTGACATAATAATTTTTACCTTCGCGTAATTTCATTACGGAAATCAGCATAAGAAACACGTTTGAAAATAGCTAGGAGCTTTAAAAGAGAATTGCTTCGATTTGTCACACTAGTAAATGAAAGCAAAAGAATTGCGTTTAACTTAAATAATAATTAAGCCGTCGTAATTGAGCTTTGGTATTTAGCATTTTGTAATATGCGATAATATCATTTTATCTAAAAAAAAAAAAAAAAAAAAAAAAAAAAAAAAAAAAAAAAAAAAAAGCGGCTGCTCTCGAATGCTCTCGAATCAAATCGAGAATAAAACGACTCTCCTATGAAATAAGAGTATTTTCATTTAATCCTCGAGAACTTGTCATTACAACATCGGAATCAAGGGACACGACTTGGTCTGAATCTCTCGGCCTCTTCGCAAATTATATTGAATAGCCGTGTGCTTGCGGCAGTGCGTGTGTGTGCATATGTTTCTTATAAATTTGCTGGTATTAGTAGAGCAGTATATTAGGCCTACTTATCGCGATAATAAACAGTAATAAACAAATTACGTTCAAACAATCGTTCGTTCGAATTGTACTTTGGGCCACGTTACTCGTTAAATATCTCGGTTGACCAATTGTCTCGGTTGTCCAATTGGCTCGAGTCGTCGGTCGCAAGAGTCAACGGGTTCACCACGTCTCCGATCACGCCTCTGCAACCATCGACGACTCGTCTGTCTAAGGATAAACGCGCTTCACGTACCGTCGCTCCAACTTATAAGCCGAGGACGTCGTCGTCGTCGTCGTCGTCATCGCCTGACCCTTCCCCGATCACAATACCCACCCACCCACCGAAGACCTTCGCGAATTTCGGGCTCGCCTAAACCGATAACAAGCATAAGGCTGACAAAGCAAAATAAAAAGCGGGCGGGAGAGATAGAGAGACGACTAAGCGACATTGACACGACACATGCACCACCGTGAACGAAGAAGTACCGAGGCTCGCAACGACCATCAGCTGCGCGTAAAAAGACGTCGTCTACGAGTCTGTCGACGACGAGCGCCCAGTCAATAAAGCTCGCGCGTCTTAGATGATACGTGTACATATACCGGCGCACTCACTAATTTAATTAAGCATGCAAATCCTCGCGCGCTACATAAGCTTGCAACGAGCTTGCAACGAGCTTGCAACGAGCTTGCAACGAGCTTGCGAGGCAGTTTGCGCGAGCCGTCTTCTTCTTCATATTAATGCGCCCCACTCCGATCATCGCTCGCGGCCACCCACGCGACCGTGTTCGCTCCCTCGCTCCCTTGCTTTTCGCAAGGGGCCATGGGAGCCTCCGCCTCCTCATCTCGTTCTTTGTCCTTTTTCGTCCGTCCTGTTTGCTCGTTTTCGTACGACGCTGGCCCAGTTATACTACGAGCGCACTCGTAGCTTAAGCGAGCGATTCGCGTATCGGGAGCAAACTCGGCTTAATTATCCGCGGGCTTTCCATGGAAATCAAGCGGATTGGCTTGTTTGCGCACCGCTCTCCCGACCTACGCTTAATTAAATGTAATTTCAACGTGCGCGCAAGTAGAGCGAGAGCCAGCTCGTTGTTTATAAAGTACTCGAAAATTGTTCGAGCGAGTGCCGATTAAATGGCGAAAATATATATATCCAGCCTCGTTGTTGCACCGAGTGTTTATTCTTTGTCAATTGCAAGATCTTACCGTATAAATGCCGACTGCGATCCATCTTGGCCTGTGGCCTTTGCCTGCGTAATACGAGAGTACCACTGACACTAGTAGCTGGGATATGTCGTTGCCTACCGTTATGACCCCTGTAAAGTAATAATTACATTTTATTTTAATATTCATATAATAATACATACGAGGGATGGGTATGGGCATTGATTTTTTTTTTTTTTTTTTTTTTTTTTTTTTTTTTTTCCCTATTGGGTGGTCAATCGTAAGGATAGTGCTAATCGCAATATCCCTATAGCCCATTGATTATTTAAATAATCAATGTCGAATATACGTCGAATATACGTCGAATATACGTCGAATATACGTCGAATATACGTCGAATATACATCGTTTAGTCCATTATATACTTAATAGCAACGTTGTAACGCTGAGTTGGAATAAAATTCATTCGACTCACTTGTATTTCTTGGCTTGTCACACTTTCCATCCTGTCGATCGTATCAATCGTCGATAAATTATCGCAAGCTCACAAGCAATGACAATTATTACTATGCAACGTTGTGTGAGAAAGGGGTTTACGATGGGAAGCGCTTCGAGTGCCAAATGCAAAAATGCAAAAAAAAAAAAAAATATAAAAAAAAGAAGAAGTAAATAAAACTAATTTTTATCCATTATGTATGAAAAGATGCTGATTTGTAACCTTATGGAACGTATATTTATAAACTGAAACGAGATTTTATTATTATTGAAACAAAGTTTCATTAATGCACAGTCCAAGTGGATATCTCACATAATTCGATCATGCTTGCAATGAAAGAAAACAAAGTATCTAGTTACTATCATGTTAAGATTTATTACCGTCGCCTTTTAAGTTAGATAATATCAAACAGAAAATCTCAAATACTCTTGATTACACTAAAGCGCTGCTTGCTTACATAGATTTTTATAACTTTCAATATTATTGAATTTTCCGTATAATTTATGTGATTTTTTTAAAAAATATTTTTCCCTGCTTTTTTTTTGTTTTTCTTTTTTTTTGTTTTTTTTTTTTTTTTTTTTTTTTTGCAAGCAACTAAAAATTAATGATTAATGAAAAATAATAATGATCGCTCAAAACATCAAATTTATACCGACGGGAATATGGAACGATGGTTAAAAAAAAAAAAAAAATAGTTCCACAATTGTAATCGATGAAATCAATTTAATTGATTGCCATTTTTAATTAAAATATTAATATCACTACATAGTAACTTAAGTGCAATTTAATCAGAGCTCGCTGAATATTCGTGTACGTGTGGATGAAAGACTACAAAAATATTCCATTGGCGTTAAAGGAAGTAAACAAGATAACGTTTAATTCAAAACTATTGAATTAAAGAAGGAATTGACATATAACGGGCAAACATTTGACACCTACGATCAATATATCTTATTCCTCTTATTCCAATCTCTTGCCATTGACAGCTACAATCTACACCCATACATTTACAAACTATTCACTCGAATAATATAATACGAGTCCTAATATTATAATAATTTCTTTTCTAAATACATCTATTCTTATCGTAACGCATGTCAATTGCACATCTTGTTTGTGCCGTCTATTATCTGTTAAATGTGTGCTAGCGCGCACTGCCCCTCGCACACTACTGCACATATTAGAAAAGATTTCTTATCAAAGTAACATTGCAAGTTAATCAATTCGGGGATTAAAACTTTCGTCCCCGTGATATCGATAAAACAGTAATAATTCACAATTCACGCTCGATATATCATTCATTACATAAAATCCAACCCCGTTCAAACCCGTGATTCGATCACGATCGAATCGCACCCCAGAGTCGCTCCAACAACATGACAACGAACATTCCCCGATCCAATGCAGCGACTGTCGATACACGAGTGTCGCATCCTCCCTCCTAGGCAAGCACGTGACCTTGGAGAATCTTGAACCGGCGAGTCACTTGACTATTCGCTCTCGGACTCGACTGGACATCGACCAACTGCCCGATTACCTAGTTGTAGCAACATCTCCTCCTCTTCCTCACCCCCACCCCCCTCGTCCAACACAAAGCTAGATTTGCTAATTGTCGAATCGAATTATGGGATCCGCGTCGTCCATGAATCCTATTTCCAAGGTCCATCTTCACGACGATCGTGCCCGCGATTGTTAATGTCAAATCCCATATGCGCACTCGACGCCACGCCGTCTCTATAACAACTGGTTAGTAGCCCGACCACAATCTGATATTTAGCGTTGGCACTCCGACGACGCAAGCTGGACACGGTCCAGTAATATCAAGGAATGGGATTTGACGTTAAAAGAATACGTATTACGTGTATTGTAAGGGAGAGGAACGAAAATCTTGGTGATTTCGATGGCAAATCGATCTAAGGCGACGTTCGGCGAACTCGCGTTTACCTAATATCACCTAACCCAGATTCTATTCCCATGGCCACCTCGAGCAGCCAATTCAGTCACTATCAGTTTGGTCACTTTGTTAGTGACGTATCGACTTAGCCGAATCTAGTTTCAACTCGTGCAACGATGATCGCGACTGAAGCATTCGACAATTTATCATCTCGAAGTTGACTTTAAGACTATATATTTTAGGCCATGAATGTTGTTTTAAAGAAAGTATAAATAACGTCATTGCTAAATTAGACATGCAATAAATTAGACACTTGATTAGATTTTCATTTCATAACTTTTTATAGAATTCAATTATAATGTAACCTCGCTTAGAGCCCGTTCATTTTTAATTGAATAACTTACTTAACCTATTGGCAGCCCAAACAGCGTATTATATTTTCTTAAAACTAGAGAACTTTTAATACAGAGTAATTATTGATTTGTCCAGGAAATTGGATATATCTTTTGAATGGCAAAAGCGAGGGTGTGATTTCCTTTAAGCAAAAAAGCAAATCGTCCTACATAAAGCAAATTAAATGAAAGAAGCAACTTCAATGCGTATTTATTGTTGCGAGTACAACAGAAATATCGGCGTTCGGGGACGTAAATTCGTCATTAGGAAATGTAAAAACCCGTCAGCCTCGAGAGTCAAGAGTAATGTTGGCTAGTCGATGTTACGCTAATGAATCTTGCCAATGGCGCAAAATACACTGTTATCATCGTGTAATAAAATGTCCCACCTGTCGTTTTCGAGGGAATCTTGAATCTCTTCTCGATGGTGGTAATGGTGCCGTTGAAGTAGGCATAGCTCGCCGAGAATATGCAACCGAGGACCCCGTAAAGGAATACGTAGGCCTTCTTGTTAGCAAACCTCTGGAGATTCGGACCGCGAAAGCACCAGATACCGCACGACGTCTCCTCGGTTATGGGCAGCTGGCGGAAGACATCGTCGAGGGCGCGCGCCGCCGACGCTGGATTCAAGGTCACCCCCGAGGTCGTCCTCGGGCCCGTCGGCGTCTCAAGTAGCTTCTTATTCTCCGGGCCGTTCCTCTCATGATTCGCCCTGCTCGTCGTCCTCTCATCCTTCGTATTCCTCATGGCAGCCGCGTTAATCTTTAGGCACGATTAAGCAACGGAGGTACATTTAAATTAACGAAGTCGAAGTTAAATCGATTTCACGATGTGCATCACATTTTCATATCGTACGAATGTTTGCCGAAATGGACAATTTTTTTATTTTTTTAAATCCTTGACGCTTCGATCCGTTTAAATTCGTCCATTTTTTTCTTTCTTATTTATATCACAATTACTATATTAAGCGTCAAGTAATATATTCTTTTTTTTTTTTTTTTTTTTTTCATTTTTATCACATACTCTTCTACTCTTTATGACATTCACCTTTCCTTTCTTTACTGTAAAAATTGTGTGCAGACTTCGTTTCCATGCAATTTCGGCCAATTTTTAATCACTCGACGTTATCAATAAATGCTAAATCTAAATTGCATTAATCTACATCCAATGGTCGCTTTATCAAACTCTAGCCATATAAAACAGCCCAGGTAAAATAATTATATTTGAATGTAATTGCATTTAATTTTCACAACGAGCCGGTTAAGTAACATAATATGTCTCTGTCTTATCAATTAAAATCAAAAAGTCAAGCTACTACTCTTTGAATGTAAATATTTTCAATGACAAAAATTATGTTACGCGTTTAATCATCACATTAAATATTTTCTTTAAATTGAATTTCTTCTAACCTCATAGATATTTATCTAAAAACGTAAATTAAACTTTGCTTCTTCTCGGTAAAACATATTTAAATATAAAAATTCCCGGATAAAGCCAAAATGTCTAGTGAGTAATTTAATATTAACAAATATTTTAACAATAGGCTTGGGTCATATTAAATATTCTGCAAACTCATGTTAAACCTATTTAGAAGTATTCGGTACACAGCACATTTAATTTACATCTTTAATATAATCAATTTTTTTTTAATAATGTGAATTGCGACTGTTCGTATATTTGATTAAAAATAAAAAGCAAAATAAAAAAAAAGATTATGCTTATATATAATACTCGTACTTCGATTATATAATGTATTTTATATTAATGCATAATTAATACACATTTAATTAATATTCATGCTATATAATTTCAATATATCATACACATATATTTAATTGTACACTTGTACGAAAAAAATATATGAATATTTATCTATTATAATATTTATAATAATATAAACGCGTATATCTATACTGGCATCATCAATTTAGAAATTAAAAATATTTATTATGTTTAGGTTAAAAACGCAAAAATATAGCTTTGAAGGGATTAAAATTATTGACGAAAAGATTAATCTGAATATAGAATTTAGAAGAAAAAAAAGGCGAAATTGTCGTTATAATTATTTAATGTAACATAAACGGATTCCCTAATATATAACATAACGTATTAAATAATATTTGAAAAGCGATTAAATATACATAGGTAATATTGTTATTGGATAAGACATTATGGAGATCGAATGAAGAGAGAAGAAATACACTTAAAAATACACACAATCGATGTTGTGGGATAATGTAGAGTTTAAAATAAAATTTTTGCAGAAAAAATATTATTTAATGCGTATAAAGGAAATTGTAAATCAAATTTTATCTATACCTCGTACAAATTAGATAAGAGAATGCAAAGCTAATTTGGTGTTAAGCAATTTTATATTAATTTATTACGTTTTAAAGTGATAAAATAAGCAAAAACTTGGGCACTAATATGTTAAATTTTCGAGAAAATTATAAGTTTCAAAAATACAAACTATTTCAACTTTATCATTGGCTGAATTTTAACCTCTACCACTACGTCTATTACAGATATTAATTAATAAATTAATAATATATTTAATTGCAAGTCCATTGGAATTTCAAAATTTCTTTAAAGAATATATTTCATCATTGCTTCTCTAAACAATGCGAGCAATTCTACAAAAACTTTTAAACTATTCAAATTTTGTATAAAAGAAAAGTGGATAGATAGCTAGAAACTAATGCACGAACGTTATACATTACCCATCGTACGCTCTCTCTCTCTCTCTCTCTCTCTCTCTCTCTCTCTCTCTCTCTCAATTTATCTATTACTTCTCTCTCCATTCGTTCCTACCCTTATACTTCTACATCCGCACATATCGCAAAGTCCCAACGCGCACACACATCTACCCATCTAAAACACTGTCATAGACGTCTCGAAATGCACCAATACAAAGGGCGTTGATTTCTTTCTCGAGATGAGCAATGGCGAACAAGAAAAATCAGTGCTGTCCATCAGACTTTGACTTTTCCTGCCTACTTAACGCCGTTAACTATCCGCCCCGTCCCATCCCCACCCACCCACCCCCCTCTCCCATCGAGTCTTGCAGCATGCATCTCCAATACAACATAAAAGGAAAATAACACATCGGAACATTATTATCGCAACGATAACGATGTGCCTTGACGTGGACAGGCCGAGTCTAAGATCATACCGACACGGATTTTCACGTTCTTATTGCTCCAGGATTCCGAGCACAACCACTCACGTCTCAGTGAGTGCCCTCCCAACTAATTCGTATGGATTTTATTAACGTTTAACACGTCCACTAGAGGCGAGAGACGAGCTTTTAAAAACTTGCCAATACAATTGCATTCGTCATTCGCCACTAGTCAATGGATGGCTTGGCCAGCAAATGTTCTTCGAACGTTTTAACGTTTTAACTATCGCGGGCGTTGATATTGCTGAGAGTAGACAAGGACGATAAATTACAAGCACCCCTTAACATTTATAGAAATTTATAGAAATTAAATGCAAACTCACGGAAAACGAGTAGTCAAAGCATAGAAGATTTTATTGTAAATTGAGTAGTAGAGAATGGTTGCCAGTGTGGGAAATCGTTGTGAATAAATGTCGGTGGGAGGGACGATGGTCGATGAATTTGATGGAAGGATCAGCGATTACATTATACGAACGAACGACGGACACATATTTTCCTTTACGTATAAATTAGCATTTATGAAATGCCGAGGCAAGGCGATCATTATTTTGAAAATATAACAAACACACCTGTTGGCTCATATCTGACAAAGAAAAATGCATATTAATGCTACCCTGGTTAATCCATACGAATTAGTTAAGGGTGAAACTTTAAAAGCAACTTGCTTGAGTATTGGGGTCGAAGTCGACGACGACTTACCAATCAACGAAACGAAAATTTTAGATTATTTATTGTTTTTATTAATGTACGTTGCTGATCGTCGTCGGGCCTATTGTTTAGCAATGCTAACATTCAGCACTGCCGAGTTTAAGAAATCGTAAATTTGTCGCTAATGTGTCGTGAAATCTTAGGGCGCCGATATTAAACAGTGGTAGTTGTATACGGCATACCTACCACTTTCTACAACGAGTCAGTAATTATTCGTACTTCCTTATCCTTTATTTCTCGATAATGGAGTGAAATGCGCAAAGGATTAGAAAAGTCGTTGATAAAAGGCGCCGGAACTAATCCATCAGGTCGTTCGGCCTCTGATAAGAGCTTGGCGCGATTATTCGACGGACTAGACTGAACTTTGATTTTTCGAAGGAAGCGCGAGAAGAAAACGCATCGCTGGCATCGGACTGAATCTCCTGCGAGGTACAAATTTTCCTCGCAATGTCCCGAGATCGAGACCGAGTGACGTAAACGTGACGTAGAAGCTGCGCACGGATAATCATCCCGTTGGTTTCCTTCCCTTTATCCGATATCTTTTCCGTTGACGCGCGAATTCAACCACGTCAATGTCTTTCAATAGCGAATTTAACTCCTTTCGCCGACACTTTCCACCACGAGACTCGCGACTGCCGATACGTCCGTGTGATTTTATTCGTCTCTGAAATATTGCGAGCGCAGCCTCACCGTTATCAACATGTAATTTCGTCACCAACATCGCGCTGAACGCATCCCTTTCCACGTTCCCTTCGATTCCGTCTCTCTCTCTCTCTCTCTCTCTCTCTCTCTCTTGTTTTGACCTCCCTAGACCCTCCCCTCCCCCGTTGTCCCATGATAATCATTGGATAGGAAAGGGCTTAAAGGGTCGCGAGAATAAGTTGGATAAAATTTTCGTGGAAGCCGTCGACGCTCCACTCCGGTCCCCCCGACCCACCAAAAGCCCATACGCATCGTACTTGTAGTGGGCGACAGTCGCAGAAAGATCATGACATTCGACTCACGTGAAGGAAGAAAAGTCAGTGGCGCGTCCCGAGTTCCCGCGCGACTAAGCCACGACACTCCTGAGGGACGTCCTCGGCCGCGCCATCGGGAAATCGCGAGCCGAAAACGGTGTCTGGGTGTAGTAGTAGTAGTAGCAGCGGTGGCGGTGGCGGTAGCGGCAGCGGCGGCGTCGGCGGCGGCGGCGGCAGCAGCAGCAGCAGCAGCAGCGGCAGCTCGAACGCGTCGACCCCTGAAACAGTAGCCGCGCGCATCACCTCCTCGTGGCTTGCGCGCGCACCCCAACCTCGCGCGTCCTGACCTCGCGTCCGAAAACGCGGCTCGCACCTCGGCTACTGAGGCCGTCGTCGCGTCGACGACTCGACGAGCGATTAGGCGCCTTCCGACATCTCCCCCCACCCTACTCCACCGCCACCACCGCCACCACCACCACCACCACCACCACCGCCGCTGGCTGCTGCCGCTACGCTACCCGTCGCCACTGCCCCTGATTGCCACGGGATAAGTGTGTGTGTGTGTGGGAGGGGAAAGGGAGGAAGAGGAGCACGGCACATTTTTAATGGACGACAGTCACTGTCTCTCTCTCTCACTCTCTCTCTCTCTATCTCTATCTCCGTCTCTATCTCTATCTCTATCTCCGTCTCTATCTCCGTCTCTATCTCCGTCTCTATGTCCGTCTCTATCTCCTTGTCTCGACGACGAAGACGTTGATAAAGACGACGAGGAAGACGACGACAAAGGCGACGACGAAGACGAGGACGAATACGACGACGACTGGTTACCGATTGCTGTGCGCGACGTGAGTCTCTGCCGAGGCGAGGAGATGACGATGAATCGGCGGAGTGCGCAAAGTGATGTAAACACAAGTTTTATAGGGCCGACGAGAGTACGACGGGCCTGCTTTATTTTTGTGCAATGATGCGTTCGAATGATGGACGTTGCCAGGGTGACCTTCCGCGATTACAAATTCCCAGACACGAGCCTGTAATTGTACCGAGAAAGCCTTTATGAAGTTTTAACGGTTTTAGCGAGTCGTATGCAAACATTGAATTATGATTCTGAGAAGGAAATCGCGCTTATCGCCGAATCTCGCGTGATAACTTTATAACATTAATAGCATCCATCTCCGTTTCAATTAATGATATTAACGCCGATAAATCATTTACTAAACCGACATATTGAGACACCATTAAACAATCATAATGATACGTGATTACATACGATTGTATTGAAGAGACTCGGAACTTTTCTTCCATTGTCGAACGCAATTTCGGACAATAGGTAATTGCAACTTGTTTCTCACATTTCTTTTACTCAATTTATAATAATCTTGTAATTATTGAATCTATAGAGCCATAGGTGTTAATGTAATGGAAGCTACAATATTAAAAACAAATGCGTAAAAACTAATTTTTTTTATCCATCGACTTATTTGAAAGACGTAATTATTGATAAAGATTAATAAAATCTAATTGTTTGCTCGATGTGTAAGTGTGAAAATACTGGGGGTGAAATGCAATATTTTAATTTATTTGTAATACAAATATTACTAATAATCGATTACATTGATATTAATTATTTTAATCGGATAATAATAATAATTTTCTTGCGACGAGTTTATTTCGATATCCTACAACTAGGAGAGATCCCGTTAAATCTAATGAGATTTTGTCACTTCCCTCTTTCAACATACAATGCATACTATTTTCTATCGAATCAGAATACAAATTAATGCAACATGTTGTTTACATTGAAAAGTTATATATTTCGGGGACACAAATTGTCTTACAAATATGTAAAAATTCTCAAGTCTCGTTTGCATTGAAAATGCAAAAATAATCGGTATTCTCAATACTCAAAATTTATTCGGTAGTAAAATCCAAACGAATATCATTTTCGAAATCCAAAGATAATTTAGAGAATTCAAAAATATTGATAGTAAAAACGTCATGGACACAACATTATATAATGAAACAACCCTTTATATATAATTATTCGCTTATTCTCCACCCAACATACAATTGTATTTTAGAATTCATAATTTGTAATAATTCTATAAACAACGGATGTATAAATAATATGATGATTCTAAAAGGCAAATATATACAAATAGACTTGCGATATCTATTTATTAATCTATCTTATTGTTACAATGATAAAATAATACTAATTTTAGGTATATTTGATATAATATGGCATTGTAAAAACTTCGACAAAAATTGATACAACGTGACTCTATTGAAATTGTATAATCTGATTTGTTAATTAAATTAAGTAAAGGCCCCTAGAAAAAAACATTACATTCCAAAATAACCAGATTCAAAATAAAAAAAAAATAAATAAATATATATATATATATATATTATATATTTTATAGTCTCTTTTTATTCATCGTTTTTAATATATTGATTGGAGTTTATGTGTACGTAGATTCGTACGTGCACACTTACTGTGCACATACCCTTGCACGCGCACGTGCAATATTCTAATTTTAATAGGTGTATTGTAGGTGTATTGAAATTCTGTTAAAAATTTGCAAAATCTCAAACATATTAGAAAGTGTAGCACCCGCGCACTGCGATATTCGGTCGGTACAGTGAATTGTATTACAAATAAACTTTTGAAAATCAGTATCAAATTGTCAAAGAACCATTGTCGTTCATAGTTCATAGACTTTCATGTGAGTTAAATCACATAATTAAATTTCATTTATATGTAATTTTTTTTTTTTTTTTTTTTTTTTTTTTTTTTTTTTTTTTTTTTTTTTTTTTTTTTTTTTAATCTAATACTCTTATTAAATACTACATTTATATAATGTTTTGTTAAAGATACATTAAGTTTTCAAACTAAAGTCCTCACACGCGGTTTTAAGGTTTTTTTCTTTTTCTTTTTTTTTTTTTTTGTGACGTTGCAATACACTTAATATATATCAACAAAATCTCAACGGACACTCAAAGTACGTAAATATTAATTATTAGCCCTTTTCAGTTATACTGCTTTAATGCGATTATGCATTGTTTTTATTAGTACGGCAATACGATATTCCATTACATTTAAAAATTAATTTTTCAATATTCTATTATTGATTATAGAATAAAACTGAAAAGTTACATCAAGCATACGCGATATCTTCATAAAAACGTAACAAATGAAAAAACAAACATTGCTTAATTTTTTATACGCTTTCATGCTACTTAAATATTTGTTTTTGAAATCTCATATGTTTATCTTGTAGAATAAAGCAATAAAATAACATTTATATATGTGCGCGTGCGTGCGTGTGTGCGTGTTTGTGTATTATAATAAAATGAACTGCTTAGTAAATTTTTTATGTGATTAAATAAATACTCGATCGTACGTTAAACCGATAGCAAAAGTGAATTTTATTAATCATCGGTAAATAGAATCGAGTAGCGCAAGATTTTAGAAAATCATCCAATAAATTAAGTCGCTTGAATCTGTTAAACAGATTACTATATCCCAATATACAAAATCCTCCTCTTAAAATTCGAAAAAATTGAATGCTCGATTTAGCAAGTACTGTTGCCCACCAATTTTAACTCACTCCAACTCTCTCAACAGTCTCTCATTTCAAAAACATTCTCACATTCTCACGCAAAAAGATACCAACACGATACCAAGACGATTTGCACGCATTGTACCAGCGAAAAATTTATCTCAACGGGGTGCTCCGAGCGATCTTCGTAAAATCCCAGCAACGTTATATATATGAGCATTATTCGCAAAAATCTTGGCGAATCCCGTAGTCACCTCCGTAGCACTCCAATCATCTCGCATCTCGCATCTCGCATGCGGATCATCGATACAAGTGGCCTACAATACTCACTCCAAGACACTCCAACGGGTGGCGGGGGCGCTCCGCGCGACACATTCCCCGAAGCATTCATTTCACGTATCGGACGACGACTTTCTCACGCCGCAAGATTTACGAGCGTCACTCTGCGGTCTGGAGGTGGCGGTGAGGGTAACCAGGGGTGGAATAGAATACGGAGGGGGAGGGGGATGGGGAGTGGGAGGGGGTATATGGGCAACTGAGCGAAATAAAGAAGCTCGCGAGCTTAGATAGTTGCCGATGATCAGGTCGCTGGAATACGATGGATGGATCGAGGTTTTGATCGACAACTTATCTATCTATGTGTTCCACTCATACTTACATCATCTTCGGCCGTCGCGCACCTCTCGGTCCGCTCTAACGCTCGCTCTATCTCACTCCCGCTCCTGCGCTGCTCGGCTTTGCATCCGTTGAGCACATTCGCGCGCATTGTAAGGCCATTAACGTTCAATGAGAGGACTCGCGCGTGTGCGTGTGTCCGTGCTTGTTGAGTGAGAAAATCCATACAGGTGATACGCGCCTAGCCACTCTCTTCTTACTTCGAGACCCCTTTGATTAATGCTTTTCTCCAATTTTTTTTCCCCTCGCGCTTTCTCTCCGTCGCCGAATATATGTATTCGAGCTTGATAATTACTCCTATAAAGCTGATAAAATTTTAACAATCTGATTCCAGATAATAAGATAATAAAGGAGCACGAAAATTGATTGCACTGTAATTCCATTTCTTACGGAATAAACTTTTTATAAACGAGTTTCTTTCTTTTGTTTTCGTTCGACGTTAACGAGCGTTAATCGAAGTCTGTAACGACAGTGACGATATTGTTTGAACAAATATGAAAGAAAATATTAAGTATTCGTGAATAAGTTTTTATGATATTTTTCAACTTAAAATCATTTTAAAATATCATCGTTTACTCAAAGACACTAGATACACAATAATGCTAATTAAATAAGAAATTGTAGAAGAAAAAATAATAATAATAATAATAATAATGTTGGCTAATTAATGTAAAATTTAGACGATTGTATTAATGCTAAAACAGCATGGTGGACAACAGCGCAAATTGTACTAAATGAATAAATAAATATTTCGAATCAAAAATATAGCTTAAGAATCGTAATATTTAATAATTTGTTAAGAATCTCCTATATTCGAAAACGTGTATATAACATGGAGTTGTTCTTAAGTAATTTTGAGGAAACGCTTAAAACTCAATAAAATATTTTAAGCAGATTTTATCTTGTACCCGCGTATTAAATTATTTAGAAAAT